GCTTGTATACATATACATATACATATACATATACATATATATATTAATATATATATATATATATATTGTACTCCATAGATATTGTTTGTACTGACGTTGTTTTATTCCGTTTACACTTGTGCCGTTGTTATGTACGCAGATACGGTGATCTCGGACAATGGGAATACAATCACACACACCGCCCCTCAATCGCTGGACGTGTGCACCTTCACATGGCGTCTGCCGCTACAGGTTCTGCCGTCTAATCCACTGAACTTCAATGAGATCAAACGGCCCGCCGTGAAGCTCTTTTGAAATAAAGTGTATTAGGAAACGAAAGATTTGAAGCTGTTGTATTTGGACTTGGTAGCACAGCATGCGGTCTCTCACTCCTGCTGTTGCTCTACGAAGGAAAGAAGAGCAGTCGCTCCTTCTTAGTTGGCCGAGCTCGTGCGCGTGTCGAGTTGCACGCTTTTAATGCACCTATTCACGTCACTGCAATATTGTATTTTTGCTACAATATATACGCACGGGGGGAATCGATCACTCTATAGTATTATATATGTATATGTGTTGGCCAGAATTGCTCACCATTGTTCCCGATACCAATGGTACCCCTCCTTTGCTAGTAATTGATTAACATATGTATATAAAGTTATTCTTAACCATTGAGATGCCAAGTAACCCTTCGCTCAAGCTGTCGCCTTAGTTTCCTTGTTGTTAAAACTGCTCCATGTAAATAGAAGGGTTACTATTACTTTTGGTGTCCAAAGGTCCTCCAAGTAGTAGACTAACCGGTGCAATTACAGTGTTCGTACCACAGACTCATTTCAGGATCATAGGCAGCGTGTATAACGATCTTATATTCCAATTCCAACACCCGTTTTGTATACCTGTATACATGTCCAAGTAAGCGCCGTGCAAATACATATATGTAGACGATACTTATTCCTGTAAGGTTGTTACCCATTCCGTGCAGCAATCTAGCTCTATGGATGTGTACTCTATGTAATACGCCGCTGCCTCCATAGGTGAATAAAGATTGCAGTCGTGTGAGCGCACCTACAAGTCACCTGCCCTTCTACATAAGACATTCCGAGAACGAGTATGTACGGCAATGATTCAAAATCAATGAGCACAATCGTCGCGTACAGCATACATGTTTCAGGTAAGGATCGTTTGTATCATACTACACATGACCATGCTATGTAGTTTGTGTAACAAGTGTAAATACATGTACAGATATGCTACATACAAACACACTAGATTAAGTATTTTAGTGGTTCCATAAACAATGCGGACAGTCCGCCCCGACGGTTCGGGTGTCACCAGTGGCTGTGTTTTGAAAACGGCTGTCACGAGGTGTTTTCTGAGTTCTCAGTTCTGACCTCTAGCACTTCCCGCGAAAGAGTAAAACAAATACATAGAACATTCTGTATATTCGGTTTAATCAATTTTCAATTTTTTTCCACCCCATGAAAGTTTTTCACGTCTCCATAAAATGTAATTGAGGAACACTATTGGAGGAATATCTGGGAGTGCTGATGCTCCAGACTGTCTTGGAGTAATAGAATTTGGAATTGAATCCTAAAATCCTAAATAGTAAATTAGAAAGTAAATTCCAGATTGATGACTGATTCATTGTGCATCAGTGCATTTTTAAATTTGTTTTTTAAAATAAATAAAAATAGACCAAAAAAACAAATTGTCCCTCTTTCTGTCCTAAATAAACTAATAATGTCCTTCAGTCTTTCTCGTCTTCAGAGTTCAGACTCGGCGAGAGAGGCCCAAAATGGCAAAGCGAAAGACCACTCCAAAATCTAAGTTTTTAGTAATATATATAATAAATATTTAAATAAAAATAAAAATACTCTGAGAGTGTGCTATTGCCGTATGCCTAAAAAAAGAAAGATTGATATTTATGCGCCGGTCAATCGGTGACTCGGTGTCCAGTTGGCGATCTGTCGGCTCTCGACTCTCGAGTCTCGGCTGTCTCCCAGCTGTCTGGCGTCTGCACCCAGCACTGTCTGCCGTAAATATATAAATATTTGTACATATCCCGAAATTGCTAGTTTGAAGTTTCAGGGTCTGGTGGGATGCCTCTTTATATACATATTTATTTACATATTGCTCTTAAAATGAACTATCGCTTTCTAACTGAAGTCTGAAGACTGACCGGAATTGCTTTTTTCGGTTGCACGTGAAAATTCCCGGATCAAGAAATAAATCATCAAGAGGCACCTGAGATGAAAGGAATATATTACTAGCTCGAGAGCTGTTTCGTTGCAGTATTACACAACTACAGTTTTCTATTGACAGTTCTCTTCGCCTTCCATGTTTCAAACTGAGTAGTCTTTGTTCATCGATTCAATTGTGGGGCTGTGTCCTATTTTATAAAAAATACGAATTGGGTTGGTATCCTTTTTTAAAACAATATTTGTAAATAGTTCTGAAATCAGTTTTCATATATCATAATGCCAACTGCCGCCACCAGTACTAAGGTAGAACATGCCACCAGTCCGGCAGTATCCAACACTGAAAGTATGATAGCTTATTTGCAAGCGATGATGCATATGCCCGCAATAGAGCGTATGCGATTTTGGCTGATAACCTTAGGAGTACGAATTGTAATGTTCGTCTATGGAGTGTTTGTATGGGCCACCATGGCAGTTATGGGCGACCAAAAGCGCACATTGTACTTGCCCGAAGATGATATGAAGTTGCCTGGATCCAAAGCCGTACGTATTCCCATGCGCATTCTGGGCCCAGAGGACATGCAGGAAATACGCCAACATGTGGATTCGGCAACACCCTTTGTCATACGCGGGTTGGATAAGAGTGTATTCACACCGGTTGACCTGAGCAACTACGAAGTGAAAGATAACACACTGCTGGTGCACGTGCGGCAGATGTGGGATGCTACCTGCTGGAAACCGGCTCGGTTCGCATACAAGTATTTGAGCACGAGCCTGCCTTGGGACAGTCTATTCCTTGTACGGATTGATCTGATGGGCTCGTATGACCGAGGATTAACCCACATTGATATCCTGCCCACGCGCAACTTCTACTATCTGCAACAAGGCGAGAAGCTGATTGATATTGTACCAAAAGAATACACGGATTTAGTAGATATGACGATAGGTATCGACAACTCTTACGTGACATCCGAAGCCAGAGACTTCGAGTGTTCACGGTGGTTAGAAAACCTGCCGGCGGTATACGAGACCGTTCTCCAGGCAGGCGATGTCCTCTGCTTTGACAACGGGTCGTGTTTGCACAAGTTCAAGAACCTTGCGGGTCCGTCTGTATCACAATCGTTCCGTGTTGCCAACTTCCGAGCATGCTACCGACCCCTATTGAGACCTCTAATGCTATCCATGGACACAGCCTGTCACGCAGCTCACATTCTGTCTGTGCAACAAGTCTCCAGGAATCCCAAGACGGTGGGGGAGACAGCTATACAAGAAGCTCAGAAACAGAGCTGATGGAAGTGGCATGTTTCGGTGTTTAGTAAGACACGCCTTCAAGCGCATATAACATTGCACGCAATAAAAGTACACACGGTTAAAGTCGATTGTAATCGACGACGTCTTTAAGAATTAGTGATAGTGCTTCTACAAATGGTATTACAAATACAAGAAGTTATTCACGTCAGCAGTCTTAAAACGTGCGGATATAATTTTTATTGATAGCATGATCATATTGAGTTTAACGAGATTTGGGTTATGTAGGTCTGTGTCAAAAGCAATATGTAACGGGTTCATATGAAAACCGATGTTCCTAGTATTACAAGAGGTGTACATCATAAATTAAATCAAGGAGCACCAGTAGTAAGATAGGGAAGTATTTTATTTGCTCTGTATTGTGTTACTTACCAAAAGGTCCAAAAAGATCTCTAGTCGTCTGGGGAGTATATGGTATTGTTTGGATACTTGTTTGCTCCATGTGCTCGCAATTGACTCTGGATATAATCCCGACGACCAGGCGAATACTATATCAGGCCTTGATTGGAGCAATCTCGAATAAGAAGTATCCCGGTCAGAACGGAATCCCAAAGGAATATGATTGACATGCACGCGCTGCAACTGCCTTGTTTCTTTTCATGATAGGCAAACTATACGCAGAAGCCATCTCGCATATCAATACAACATGCATATAAACCGGTGACTGGGACGTAAAGGCTTTAAATAGCACATATTAAATACACGCATGGCACTTGCGGTGTAGACTCAATGGCTGTCAGGGTGAATTATAACAACTGTGGGTACTTCGTGTTATCTGTTTTCATGATCGCTGCGTTATATGTGCGTGTATGAGCACAGCGGAGGCATACACAAATGTGTCATTATCATTAAAAGCAGGTATGACCCCCATTGGCATATCATTAAAAGCAGACATGCCCATTGGCTTATCATTAAAATCAGGCATGCCCATTGGCTTATCATTAAAAGCAGGCATGCACATTGGCTTATCATTAAAAGCAGGCATGCACATTGGCTGTGACGAGCTGCGTACGGTACGAAAACCTGCACTGCACGATTCACAATTAACATATTAATTAACTAAACGGCCTAGCCATTCGCAGCGTATCCGAATGTAACGTAACATTGCCGACGACCACTGCGCAGTATTCTGGGTAAACCACTCCGCACCATTCACAAGGAGAGCGTTTGACAGACGACGAATCGAATAGGAGAACAAGCCCAATAGTCAGCAATCGCTCTAGGCCGATTAAAAGCTACTCCAGTGTTACTAGTCACACGCTAGTGTTACTAGTTACTGCAGCAGTAGTGCACCCTCGCCACTGCCACAGGTGTTGGCATCAACAGCAACTGTACATCTCTGTCGTAAACCATTGGGGCCGGCAGTGCTTGTGCTTCAGGACGTTGCACAGCAAGCAGTATCCACTGCAATCGCAGCAGCTGTTTGAGGCCGTTGCCATGGAAACCGCTCCCATTTGCACCCAGCCCTACTCCCCAGGACTCTAGGCTAGGGCCGAGTCCTAAACTAGCGTCTGGGCAAACCCTCGGCAGAAGCACACGCCTGCGCTCACAACTTGCTTGATGCGCAATCACTACAATTGAACCGCACGGAGGGACGACCCGTATAGCTATACGACACCAGCCTGTACACGACCCAGGCACTAGGAGATACCAGCCACACTACCCACACACTTGAAGACACCAGCCACACTACCCACACACTTGAAGATGCCAGCCACACTACCCACACACGTGGTGAGGCGGGACAGGCTCAGGGTCCTTAGCCTGTGGTCCGATCCGCCCAACACACTTCCATAGGCTACGTGCATGCACCTCGCACACACAGCGTCGTGCACTCCTCCTCCTCCGCTCGCGCGTGTGTCATGTGCTAGATAGGTGCGTATCACTCATGGTCAGTCTCGGCTATCCTGTGTCGTGTCTGTCTGTGCAGTTCATAATCCGCAAAGGTGCGTGTCATCTGACGTTGGTACTGCTCGGCCGAGGGCTGCCATTTGCTGCGCAGGATGCGGTGGATGGCCTCAGGTGACACTTTGAAGCGGTCGGCCAGCGCCACTGTGGTCCACGTGGAGCGGTTCTGCGCAGAGGTGCAGGAGGGGACGAGAGGGTTATAGCACGTGCTAGTCAGATGAGAAGAAGTACTCAAGTACTGAGTGAACTACCTGCGCACAACACGTGAACCGGGGCAATGGCCCAATACTAACAGCTGCACTGGCCGAAACATCACAACCACGCACAAACGTAAACGTACAACCAGGGCCACAGCCGCACGTGCATGGTGGTACTGGCGCATACCTCTTCGCGCAGCTTGCGCACTTTCTCCATCGCAGGCCGTGACAGGCGTTTGGTGGGTTCCCATTCGGATTTCCTGCACACACGATAGAGGGTGGGGTGATGGTCAGTAGCGTGCATGGGAGAACACGACAGCCATCTGCATGCAAACGATGTGCATGCACCACGCACTCGTGCAGGTGTGGTTGCAGGTTGATAAGGAATGCCGGAGTGTTCATGTGAGCTTGGTTCGGGTTTGGTTTGTGTTTACATAGTGCTACATTCTCCAGCGGTGTGTGCACGGAACAGGACAAGGGGCTGGGATACTCTCAACGACAGCACTGCGACGTATTGCATATAAGTGGTATAGAGACGCATACACGTAACCATATACACATAAGTGATCTAAATAGTGCATACACATAACCATATACACATAAGTGATATATATAGTGCATACACGTAATCAGATACATGTAAGTGATATATATAGTACATATACATGACCATAGACACGTGAGTGATATATATAGTGCACACACGTAATCAGATAAATATAAGTGATATATATAGTACACATACATGACCATAGACACATGAGTGATATATATAGTGCATACACGTAACCATATACATATAAGTGATATATATAGTACATACACATGACCATAGACACATAAGTGATATATATAGAGCATACAAGTAATCGTATATATATAAGTGATATATATAGTATATACACATGACCATAGACACATGAGTGATATATATAGTGCATACACGTAATCATATACATACAAGTGATATATATAGTAAATACTCATGACCATATACACATAAGTGATATATATAGTGCATACATGTAACCATATACAAATAAGTGATATATATAGTACATACACATGACCGTAGACACAAAAGTGATATATATAATGCATACGCATGACCATGTACACAACCATAGTAAAACCCTTCACCACAGAAACATCACTCACGTGCAGACATACTACCACTGCTTGTTCATTTGTACATACATGGCCTTTGGAGGTTCTTTCCTATCCCAACCCTTGGGCTTGCGAGGACCTGGTTCCACTCCAGGTGGAAGATTGGCATTGATCTGCGCCCAGGAGATACCCCTGTTCTTCCATCGGGTGGCCGCCTAAAAGTAACATAGACCAGGTGAAATAGAAATGAACCAGGGGAATTAGAAGTGTGCTTTATAAGTAGCATGGACCAGGTGAAATTTAAATGAACCAGGGAAACTAGAAGTGTGCTTTATAAGTAGCATGGACCAGGTGAAACATAAATGAACCAGGGGAACTAGCAGTGTGCGTTATAAGTAGCGTAGACAAGGTGAACTAGAAATGAACCGGGGTATTAGAAGTGTGCGTTATAAGTAGCATGGACAAGGTGAACTAGAAATGAACCAGGGGAATTAGAAGTGTGCATTATAAGTAGCATGGACAAGGTGAATTAGCAGTGTGCTTTGCGACAGGGAAACGCAAAGACAATACCGCAACTTCACGGACACTACAGCGAGTGAAAATACAAAGTACACATCACCACTCAACCGAAAGATAAGTAAATACCCCTTATAAATACAACGTACACCACCCCACCCAACCGAAAGATATATAGAAACATATCCTTATAGATGCATAGTACACATCACCACTCAACCGAAATATATATAGAAGCCACTCCCTAAACCTGTACAAAGCGCAGGAGCACACCACACCAACCCCACCCGCACCAGCCTGACCTTATCCGCCTTCTTCTTGGCCTTCTTGTAGGCCAAGTCTGGATTGAAGAAGGCCTCCTCGGGATCCAAATACTTTCTGATCTTCCGCATGCGCTTGCTGCCCCTCTCCGGTGGCACCACACCCCTCTCCTTGGACTGCACCGTCACATACGTGGGCTTCAAGTCTCGCTCCTGCCTTTTCCTCTCGATGTCGCGATGGGTCGCAGATAACGACGCGTAGTCGGACGTGTCTGCGTGCTGATCATGCTCTGTGCTGTTGCCCTTCAGTCGGTTGCGTATCTCCTGTTTGCTCAGCACAGGCATGGGCTCTAGGTTGGCGAGGTCAATGTCCAATTCCGCGTCGTAGCTATCACCAATCCACACCTTCTCCTGGCGCTCTCTACGTACTCTGCCCTGAGGTGAGTTGTTGTACCCAGCCCCATCTGAACCCGTTCCACTCGCCGGTGCCTGTGGCCTTGTGTGTGTGTGTGCAGCTAAGTAGTCCTGTGGCTCTGCCCCTCTGGATATTTGTAGCGTCGAGGAGGTGTGTGGAGGTGACTGCACGTGCACTTCACCAGATGACAGCAGTGGTGCACTCTGTGGCCCTAGAGTGCGCAGGTCTTCCTCGGCGTTGAGGGCTCGCATGCGTTGTTTTCCCTCTTTTGAATCGGGATCGAAGCCGAACACTACGGAAGATAGTAGCATACAAACAGAGTAAGATAATAGCATAGAAACACAGTAAGACATTGGCATACAAACATAGTAAGACAATAGCATAGAAACACAGTAAGACAATAGTATACAAACACGGTAAAAAAGTAGCATAGAAACACAGTGAGATAATAGCATAGAAACACAGTAAGACAGTAGCATAGAAACACAGTGAGATAATAGCATAGAAACACAGTAAGACAAAAGCATAGAAACACAGTAAGACAATAGCATAGAAACACAGTAAGATATTAGCATAGAAACACAGTAAGTTAATAGTATAGAAACACAATTAGATAATAGCATAGAAACACAGTAAGACATACGCATACAAACACAGTAAGACAATAGCATACACACACTATAAGATACTAGCATAGAAACACAGTAAGATACTAGCATAGCAACACAGCAAGACAACATACAAAGACAGATAGCATAGAAACACAGTAAAATAGTAGCATAGAAATACAGTAAGACAAAAGCATACAAACACAGATAGCATAGAAACACAGTAAAATCGTAGCATAGAAATACAGTAAGATAATAACATATAAACACAGTAAGAGAATAGCATAGAAACACAGTAAGATAATAGCATATAAACACAGTAAGATAATAGCATAGAAACACAGTAATACAATAGCATACACACACAGTAAGATACTAGCATACAAACACAGTAAGATAACATACAAACACAGTAAGATAATAGCATAGAAACACAGTAAGATAGTAGCATAGAAACACAGCAAGACAACATACAAACACAGTACGATAGTAGCATAGAAACACAGTAAGACAATAGCATAGAAACACAGTAAGATACTAGCATAGAAACACAATAAGTTAATAGCATAGAAACACAGTTAGATAATAGCATAGAAACACAGTAAGACAAAAACATACAAACACAGTAAGACAATAGCATAGAAATACAGTAAGTTACTAGCATACAAACACAGGAAGATAACATACAAACACAGTAAGATAGTAGCATACAACCACAGTAAGATAATAGCATAGCAACACAGTAAGTTAATAGCATAGAAACACAGTTAGATAATAGCATAGAAACACAGTAAGACAAAAACATACAAACACAGTAAGACAATAGCATAGAAATACAGTAAGATACTAGCATAGCAACACAGTAAGATAACATACAAACACAGTAAGATAGTAGCATACAACCACAGTAAGATAGCATAGCAACACAGTAAGATACTAGCATAGCAACACAGCAAGACAACATACGAACAAAGATATCATAGAAAGACAGTAAGATAGTAGCACAGAAAGACAGTAAGATAGTAGCACAGAAACACAGTAAGATAATAACATATAAACACAGTAAGATAATAGCATAGAAAAACAGAAAGACAATAGCATAGAAACACAGTAAGACAATAGCATAGAAACACAGTAAGATACTAGCATAGGAACGAAGTAAGAAAATAACATAGAAACACAGTTAGATAATAGCATAGAAACACAGTAAGACAAAAGCATAGAAACACAGTAAGACAATAGCATAGAAACACAGGAAGGTACTAGCATAGAAACACAGTAAGATAACATAGAAACACAGAAATATAGTAGCAACAACCACAGTAAGATAATAGCATAGAAACACAGTAAGATACTAGCATAGCAACACAGCAAGACAAAATACAAAGACAGATAGCATAGGAACACAGTAAAATAGTAGCATAGAAATACAGTAAGACAAAAGCATACAAACACAGTAAGACAATAGCATAGAAACACAGTAAGACATTAGCATACACACACTGTAAGATATTAGCATTGAAACACAGTAAGATAACATAGAAACACAGTAAGATAGTAGCAACAA